TGTGTGCCTGGACCTGCCCCAAATTCTTGGTTTACCAGGTACCTGCCCCCCCATAGCCCCACTGGGACCCCCACAGCCCCCTGGGGACCCCCCAACTCCCCCCCACCACACCGTGTGCCTGGACCTGCCCAAGGCCTCGGTCTACCAGGTACAGCCCCCCCCCGACCCCCATAGCCCCTCTGGGCCCCCCGGGACCCCCACAGTGCCCCCGGAATCTCCCCAGCCCCCCGCCCAGTGTGCCTGGACATGCCCAAGTCCTCAGTCTACCAGCTACTGCCCTATGTGACCCCCTGGGGCCCCCACAGCCCCTCGGGACCTCCCAATCCTCACAGTGAGCCATCCATAGCCCCTGTGCATCCCTGCCCTGTACAGTGTGCCTGAACCTGCCCAAAGCCTTGGTCTACCTGGTCCTGGCCCGCTGGACCTTATCCCTGCTGGGATGAGACCCTCCCATCCCCTGCATGGTGTGCCTGGGGGACTGCTCAATGCTTCTGTCTGCGCGGTACCCTCTACCTGTCCTCCCTTCACAGTATGCCTGGACCTGGCTAACGTTTCATCTACCAAGTACCTTCAGATCTGATTTCCCCCCCCCCCCCACTCCTGGTGATCCCCTGTTCCCATACCCCTGCACAGCATTGCCTGCACCTGCCCTTGATCTTGTTCTACCAGGTACCCCCCCTTGGGACCTCAGTCCACTATATACCTTCCTGGGACCTCTTCTCTGTCCCCGCTGCCACTGCATGGACCTGCCCATAGCCTCTGTCTTCCTGGCTCCTCTCCCAAGCCTGACCTCCCCCCTGCATCCTCTGGATGGTGTGCCTGGATCTAGACAAGCCTGTCTTCTACAGAACGCCTCTGCCAAGGGCTGACCCTTCCTGTACCCAGAAGACCTTATCTCCACCCCCCTCATGCTGGCTTGCCCTGCCCACGGCCTTGGTCTGCTAGCTTCCATTCTCCAGGAAACAGGACCGTCACACCACAACCCTGCTTCTGGGGGGAGGGCTCTGGGGACTGTGCACTTGAGCCTGCCCAAGGCCTGTGTTTCACACCTGTGTTTGCACTCAGCCTCCCATTCCCCTTACCAAACCTAGCCTCCAACCCTGTTCTGGGTTATCGCTTCCTCTGCCTCTCTGAGATTTGAGGACTAGGCTCTGCTCCTGAGCAAAGTGATTGCCAAAGAGAAGATGAAGTGAGTCATTTCTTCCTCAGTCTGATGATCATGAAGAGGGCAGGTGTTTTCCCATGGTCACTCCCAAAGGGCCTTTCCCCAGATAGTATCTGAGATGTGCTCCTTACTCTTTCTAGGTCACCTGGTACCAAAGTCAAGGCAACCTCACTTCACCCTCCTGCAGGGTGTATTCCTCCCAACCCATGGCTCCCAGTCACCAACTCCCAAAATATATCCCATTCCTTCCCAGAATGTTCTTTGCAGAAGCAAACAGGGATCGAGTTGGACTCTGATTGAAAGGAGCGGGCTAGTGCCTCTCCCTGGGAATTGTCAGCTGGTCAGGGTGTGTTTGCTTCCCCGGGAGACTTGTGTTCCCTGAAGGAAGGGGTACCTTGTTTTAATCATGGAAGATCCCACCCTGTTTTAGTGAAATAGCTTGATCCCTTTGAATGGCTCCAGCCACTGGTCCCTTAGCCTGAAATATGGGGGAGGCCAGAGGAAGAAGACAAACTTCTATGAAATAGAAACCGAAATACTACTCGTAAAAAAACCAAAACCCCATGTTACTGCCACCTGAGCGTGCTGGTGGGTGGGATTGGTGGAAAGCAATGATTGTGGGCTTGCTCCCTGCCACATGTCCCATACAGACACTCACATCACAGTGAGGGTTTCATTGGAACTGCACAAGTGGAGGTGTCAGAAACTCCAGGGCATTATGTGGGCCTGTTATGTAAATACGTGCACACGTGTGTTGTTGACAAGACTCAGATCTGCTTTTTATTTTACCACCTCTTTTGCAAGCAGGCAGTTCTCTCTTCGCTCTGCAAAGCGTCCACTTCTCCTTGTAATAGTGCTGCAGGAACGTGCGTTAATCTGCACACAATTGTAAGTGGCCCTGGTATAGCCAGCGTCCATTTTGTGGGACACTGACCTCCTGGCGCAGATGAGGCTTTGCGTGTAAGGCAGAGCTCCCTATCCCTTTCTAGAGCTGCGAATTGAAAGCGTTGGATAGCCCGGTCAGTTCATTAGCTGGGTTAGTTGGCTTTCCTGCGGTATGCTAACCATTCTGGCCTCTTCAGGCAAGCAAGAAGAAAAACAAAATGGACTTTTGGCCTAGCCATTCCTCAGCTTACAGCTTCTATGCTGCGCAGGCTGATTGGCTAGAGGAATGTAGACATAGGGTTGCCAATTTTGGACGTATTCCTGGAGATTTCCTCACATGACAGTCTTCAATTAAAGATTAATTTTTAATTCCGGGAGACTCCAGGACAGTCCTGGAGGGTTGGCAACCCTGCGGGAAGGAGAATCAGAGATCTGGTGTTTGGCAGATTGACTCGCATTTAATTGTCTCAGAGCTGAGCTGTGAAGCAGAGTGCGAGCTGAAAGCCTTGAAATGGTAGGCGAGTGTGACTTGAATTAGCCAAGAGCCTAAATGCAAAGGTCATTGCCTTGGTGATGTTACACTTTGCTGATCAGACCCTAATAATTTCGGCTGCAGACTGTTGCTGGTGCGAGAGTAGCCTAAGATGGCAGAGCTGTGCTGTCTCAAGGAAGGGAACTATGTTCTGCGAGGTTTATTTCATGTGCCACTGTGTCATTCGTGGTAAGGTTACAGGCTCAAGGGATCATGTAAAATGGCTGCTTGCTCTCAGGAGAAGCAGTGTTCTTAGGAGCAAATCTGTTAGCAGAAACGTCTGGGTACACAGTTCAACTGAATCCGAATGAATGGTGCTAAACCCATGGCTCTTGCCTTCGTATGTGTGCTTGCAAAAGAACTTGCAGTAAAACTGGCTTTCTTGTCTGAGCCTTTGTAGGTATTTGGCTTCACTGAGAGGAGAGCATTGTGTGGGAATACAGGTCAGATGCTGTTTCTAAAACGAACTGCCACTTTCCCTCCTCTGGGCCCTCTTCCAGTTGTGTTTGTCTGGTGCCATAGAATTATTGTCCCTGAAAGAAGACGAAATCATTCAGTTTTAACTTCCTTCTCTGCAGAGAATAGGTAAAGCAGGACAAGCTGCCGCTGGCTGCGAGGCTGTGGGAGCTTCGGCAGCGTCACACAATGGTCCCATTATTGATGAGGGCACTCGAGGTTTTGGATTGCCACAAAATGACTGCTGCTTTTACAGGCTAGCAAAGCAAACCTGGCGGTGATTTCTGGAGAGGCTAGTGCAAACCCGTTTGTGGCGCTTTGGTAGCTGTGGAATTCCCTGGGCAGTTTCAATTAGGAACATTTAAAATGTTTTGGGGGAAACTAAAACAGCCATGAATAAATAGCAAGAGGCCTGCCTGTGTCTGCAGAGACCCACACAGTGAAATCGGTGCTTGTTGTACGTGTCGTCTTGAGTGATTTACGCTGGTTAGTTGCTGTTGCTTGATTTGCTCGTGCTAGCTTTGTATGTACTGGGGAAGGCATCTAAATAGTGCCACAAGGTGCATATGTGGTGTGGGTTTTTTTTAATTCCTCTTCTGTGCCCTCTTCTCTGAGGTGTCTCCTACATCTCTCTAGCCCCTGGCTGAATTTGAGGGGAAGGGTGGCTTTGTGATTGAGACAACCCACTGGGCCTCTCGTGGAGGTGGGAATTGAACCCCTATCTATGGATTTACTGTGACCCCTTGGGCTGGCCCCTCACTCTCCATGCCTTGGTTTCCTCATCTCTAAACTAGGGGTCCCTATGTGACAGTGTTGAGCATGCATTTATGAATACTTGCGAGGAGGTCAGATGCTGCAGTGACTTGGCACGTAGGGAAAAGTTGGAGCTTTCTTCTTGTCTAAATGTGGGCTGTACTTGCAACTTACCAGGAGGAGCAGACTGCAGCTACCCTCAGTTGGGAGACCTGCAGGTAGCTGCTTGGGATCAAGATGGCGCATTGTCTGTGATTATGGACTGTTCCTCTATTAAAGATGAAGGTTGACCTGAATGAGGAAGGAAGGTCTTGGGCTTAAAGCACAGGACTGAGGACTGGGTCCGGTCCTGGTCCTGGCAGTGCTACCAGCTTTCTGTATGATCCTGAGGAAGTCACTTCTTTGTACCTCACTTTCTCCACCTGTAAAATGGGGATATCCACCTAGCATAGTGTTGAGACCTAATTCGTAATTTGTAAAGAACTTTGAGGTCCTGGGTGGAAAGTGTTGTACAATTCTGTGGGTTCTCTTTGGCCACCCTTTGTTACAGTGTCATGGACTTGACATCCTTATTAACCAACTAGACTTGGCAAAATGTCCTCTCTCCCATCCTACCTGGTCCAGTCTCTGCTTGCCTGGGCTGACCACCCTTCTTTATTGTAACTGAGGAGCAAGCTTGTCGTTTGTAATCCCTCTTTGTGCCGAGGCTGCTGTAAGGATTCTTATTGGGGCCCTAATACTAGTCCAGAGCTAAAGTGTGAAGCAGGAAAGCCAGTGCAAACCTTCTCTTGCAGTCGCTATGATGTACAACACTTTAATGTCTGAAGCTTTTCATTTACAGGGTGTCTTTGACCAGGTATATAGATGCTGGTGAAACCTGATCAACAGGAGAACGAATGGAATCCCAGATACCTTGCTCTTCAGTTGGTTTATATAAAATAAAAAGGTAGTTAGCCCAGGCGAGCGCTGATTGGAACAGGTAGGGTGAGAGAGGAGATTTCCAAGGTTGCTTTGCAATGCATCACAGGAGAGGTGTCTGGAGGAGGGAGTAGTGCGGCTGCCTTGAAACAAACTAATTGAAAGCAATAATAGTGTTAGCGCTGATATGCAGCCGCCCTGTGTTCTGAGCGCTGCCCATCCCTTTGTATGTTGTGGAAGGCTGGGATTAATAAGCGGCCTAGCCGGGTAGATAAGGTGGAGTGCGTGGTTTGTTTTTTTTCCAGTAACGGTGGTCCTGGGATGGCTGATTTTATGGTTGAAAGCAGGAAATAGATTATCCTGAGTATTTTAGCTGCTGGTAATTTGTATAGTTCTCAAGGGTTTATCTACATGGAGATGATCAGGAAAGTCCGGATGA